CACGCGCACGCGCACGCGCACGCGCACGGCAGACACCCCACGGGCGGGCCGGGCGCATAGCTGCTATCCCCGGGTGAGCCAGTATGCGCGCAACTCGCTCGCTCAGCGCCCGCAAAGCATCGCGAACACCAAATGGGGAATAATAGTAAAGATCGTGAATGTGGAATGCTGGCGGGTGCGCCGAGCATTGCGTAAGTGAGAAGCGGGGGGTCATCAGCCGCGGCGTGGGCTGTTTGGATTTGACGAGCAAAAGTGGGTTGTGTGGAGGTGGGAATAGCGTTGAGCACGCATGCAGGCGGCAGACAAGCGAGGCAAGCGCGCGTGTACGCCAACTTGCATGGCTTTGGTGTTAATGGCCGCGCTGGTGATCTTGCTGCGCGGTGATTCAGCTCAAAACCAAGGAATTGAATGATTGCATGATGGCTTCCGCCGCGGATGCTTGCGCAGTACAGCGAGCACAGCTGGGCATGATTAAGCATGGTCGCGCGTCAAGGCCCCAATTTCATTTGCCCATTCCATTTGAATCGAGTAGGTACAGTCACGAGTAGTCGCTGTGGTACCTATCAAGCGCACGCGAGCTCTTAAAGTAGCTTTTTGCGCTTTCATTGTCTGTGCTGCGCTGTTTCTCAAACGCCGACGCATGGGCCGGCCACGTCTTGATGCATGGCAAATCGCGACGCTGGCATACAAAAATAGAGTGAATGAGAGGATTGCTCCGCCAAGACTTGCTCGGCCAAAGCGCAGCAGTTGCTGGAGTCGCGCCGGCGTGAAGCAAGGCTCGAGGAGGATAAAGTCACGAGATGAAAGTGTGTCGACAGCTAAAGGGGCTGCGTGGAAGTTTGCACTTTCTGCTGACTCGAATGGCCCTTCCTAGGAGAGCGTGAGGGACTGGAGTACTGGACTCAAGCGGTCTCTTGGCTAGAGACCAAGCAGACGATTCATGAGTCTACTGCGAGATGTGAGTCAAGCAAACAAGCAAATCTTGAACAGGACTCCGGTAGGAACGATGGCCCTCTCCAATCTCAAACTCAAACTCAAGACTATATGTACTCTCGATTCAGCGCTTGGCAGCCGCAATCATACGCTGCAAGCTATATGTAACCGCGCTTTTGCGTACAGGTCGTTTGTTTGCTCATGACGTAGAGAGAGTATCTATTGAAGCGTGTCAAATGTTTGAGGTGCTGCAAGGTCAATATATGTAGATCCACGATTCACTCCAGCTCAGACTCTTGATTATTAGCAAGTCAAGATTAAACAAATAAAGTGGCGATCGAGAGACGCGCACCGCGAGGGCGTTCCGCCGTCCCTGCATATGCATGCGCTCGCTGCATGCGCATCTTGCCTTGCCTTCCGGACCACGGTTCCATGGCGGTGCAGTGCCGCTATACCGTACAGTCAGAGTATACAGCAGGTCAGGCTCATCTTTCGCCTCGAGAGGTGCAGTACTAGGTGTGGAGCCATAGCTGCATGAAGATCATCATGCGGACGCCCTCCCGCGCGGTCAGCA